TCCTGTACATCTTATTCTTCCCACCATTAACACTATATTCTTCCTCCGCCATTAACATCTTCTCCGCCATAGATTTGCCGCCGCCTCCTCCTCCTAACATTTCATCTAGTATATGTATCTCCCCTTTCCATTTTATATTTTGATTTTCAAAGATTTAATGATGGATTGGGTTTGGGTTATGATTTTAGTCGTTTAGGTTGTTGGGTTGTGTTTGATGTAATGCAAGTTGAAAAGAGTGAAATTTGTTGAATATTTTCTTGCATTGTGGGTAGTTGGGGGTGGTAGCACCGATTGTAGGTGGAGATGGCTGAAAATGTGTTCTGTTCAAATGGATCGCTTAAGCGATCTGGTATGTCGTATAATGCAGCAGATCGAAGATCGCTTAAGCGATCAAGTATGTGGCATAGATCATTTAAGCGATCTTCTTTAAGTCTGGCATATGGCAGCAAATCGCTTAAGCGATTAGGTATATAGAATAAGATCGCTTAAGCGATCCAATAAGCAATATAGTAGATCACTTAAGCGATACACCACATCGCTTAAGTGACTATGCATATACTTTTTAAAATCTATCAACCCTTAATATATCAGTTAATAATTTTTGTTTTCTTGCATTATAGGTACTTGGCTATTATTAGACATGGAACAAGTTGTTTTGGGTGTTGAATATCTTGGTGAGTGGGTGGAGGAAGAAAGTTGCTGGAAGTGGATGAGGAAGAGCAAACAAGTTAAACCAATTGCGCTGAGTATAGAAGTTAGTTTTGATGAGTTGATTGATGAAATCATTAGAAGAGGTGGGTTGAGTTGCTGAGGTGGTGATATAGTCATGAAGTATGTTTTAAATAAATTTTTTAAAACATACGGTTTCTGCCATCATAATAAATTTTTCAGCACAACAGCTATATCCTGTAAATGTGTGATGACATTACATTTGTGTTTTGAGAAGCTTGAATAAATCATCCTTTATATTGTATTAAATAAACTTGATTATTTTTAACTTTCATCCATTTTAAATATTATCAAAATGATTGTCGTGTCAAATCAATCAATTTACTGAATTAGTCACGAGTGAGCTGTAAAAAGCAACACCAAGCCCAAGGTTACTGCATTAGTCAGGCACTCTCTCAGTCTACAAAGTGTAGAGCAGATGGTTGCAAAGTTCAATTTTATATAAATATTATATTTATTTATATATTATTTTCTTGCCAAGAACTAACAAAAATAATAGAATAACAATAGATTATTCAGTTTTATGTACGGTCTAACTGACAAAGACCGAAGTGTTATTTTCACATTCTATTGGAATGAAAAAAAAATTATTAATAATAATAAATATTAAACAAAAAAGGACTAACAACAGTAATAGAATAACCATAGATCATTTAGTTTTATGTACGGAGCTGTAACTCTGCAAAACCATCTGCACAAACAATCTTTTGACTAGTCATTCAAACTTCATTTACTCCTTAAAGTAAAAACTATTTTTAAAATCACATTGAGAAGAATTTCAAAAGAGTGTAATATTTATCGATGCTCTATAAATTTCATCGTCTTTGCTTTTGTCCATATCTCAACTCTGAAGCCATTTTCTTGCTTGAACTCTTAACATCTTTATATTTCAAAGAAAGAAAAAGAAGAAGATATGTTCACTAAGGTTGCATAGTTATCAAGTTCTCTTCTACCCAAATCTGTACCCTTGAATTTGAGAATGATTATTGTAGAGTACAAAGGAAATTAGCCTCTATTACTTAAGCGACGTGGGATATAGCTTAAGCGATCATGACTTACGTATACTAGATCGCTTAAGCGAGATAAGACATTGCTTAAGCGACCCCGTATTCGAGAATGAATTATTCTAAGTACAAAAGGAAATTTGCCTTGGTCGCTTAAGTGACATATGTTATTGCTTAAGCAATCAGGACTTATGTATATTGGATCGCTTAAGCGAGAGCTCACATCGTTTAAGTGATCCTTAATTTAGAATGATTATTAAGTATAAAGAAAATTAGCCATGATCGCTTAAGCGATGAGGGATATTGCTTAAGCAATTAAGGCTTATGTATACTGGATCGCTTAAGTGAGACAAGAAATCACTTAAGCGATCCTGTACTTGAGAATGAATTTTCAAGTACAAAAGGAAATTTGCCTTGATCGCTTAAGCGATGTAGGTTATCACTTAAGCGAACACAGCTTATTCATACGGGATTGCTTAAGCGAGATATGAAATCGCTTAAGCGATCCTGTAGTTGAGAATGAATTACTCCAAGTACAAAAGGAAAATTGACTTGATCGCTAAAGCGACTCGGGTTATCACTTAAGCGATCACGGCTTATTCATACGGGATCACTTAAGCGAGATATGAAATCGCTTAAGCGATCCTGTAGTTGAGAATGAATTATTCAAAGTACAAAGGGAAATTTTCCTTGATCGCTTAAGCGACTCGGGTTATTGCTTAAGCAATCAAGACTTATATATACTGGATCGCTTAAGCGAGAGAAGACATCGCTTAAGCGATCCTGTACTTGAGAATGAATTTTCCAAGTACAAAAGGAAATTTTCCTTGATCACTTAAGCGACTAAGGTTATCGCTTAAGGGATCAAGACTTATGCATACTGGATCGCTTAAGCGAGATATGAAATCACTTAAGCGATCTTGTAGTTGAGAATGAATTATTCCAACTACAAAAGGAAATTTGCCTTTATCGCTTAAGCGATCAGGGCTTATGTACACCGAATCACTTAAGCAACAGCCCACATCGCTTAAGCGATTCGTGATTTAGAATGATTATTAAGTATAAAGGAAATTAGCCATGGTCGCTTAAGCGACGTGGGATATCGCTTAAGCGATCCAGTGTATTTGAGAATGAATTATTCCAAGTACAAAAGGAAATTAGCCTTGATCGCTTAAGCGACGTGGTATATCGCTTAAGCGATCATGACTTATGTATACTGGATCTTTTAAGCGAGGTATGATATCGCTTAAGTGATCCTGTATTTGAGAAAATTAATGGAGTACAAAAGGAAATTAACCTTTATCGCTTAAGCGACGTGGTCTATCGCTTAAGCGATTGAGGCTTATGTATACTGGATCACTTAAGCGAGGCATGACATCGCTTAAGCAATCCTGTATTTGAGAATGAATCAATGTACAGTATAAAAGGAAATTAGCCATGATCGCTTAAGCGATTACGGTTTATGTATACTGAGTCGCTTAAGCGATTTAGTATCTCGCTTAAGCGATCGCGTATTTGAGTGAATTATTACTAGTGCAAAGGAAATTTGCCTTGATCGCTTAAGCGACATGGTTTATCGCTTAAGCGATCACGACTTATGTATAAAAGATCTCTTAAGCGACAGCCTACATCGCTTAAGCGATTAGGGCTTATTGATACATGATCGCTTAAGCGAGACATTAAATTGCTTAAGCGATCCTATATACATAAGCCATGTTTTCTTACGCGTTATCTCATGTCACTTAAGCGATCATGCCTAATTTCCTTTATACTCTACAATAATCATTCTCAAATTCAAGGGTAGAGATTTGGGTAGAAGAGAACTAGATAACCATGCAAGCTTGGTGAACATATCTTCTTCTTCTTTCTTCGAAACATAATGATGTTAAGAGTTCGAGCAAGAAAATGGCTTTAGAGTTGAGATACGAACGAAGAAGAAGACGGTGAAATTTTTAGAGCATTGATAAATATTACACTCTTTTGAGATTCTTTTTGGTTTGATTTTAAAAGGAGTTGTTATTTTAAGGAGTAAACGAAGTTTGAATGACTAGTCAATAGATTGTTATTACAGATGGTTTTGTAGAGTTACTGTTAGAGTAGATGCCCTAGGGCCAATCAATTATTGTAGAATTAACTCTTTATAATAATGTTCATTAATCAATAAAAGACATTTTATTCTATATCGCGTAAATCATTGTTATTGCAATATGTATTGATATATGTCCTCAGAATGGTAGAACCGTGACGAGGGTATCAAGTGTTTCAATTCTTGATAGTGAGAACCCTATGAGCACATATGGTGGTCATTCTAGAAACATCCGTAGCCCTAGTATTATTCTGAAGTAAGGGCACAGATAATACGGTAAGGCTATTATAGTATTGAACGACCCTGTCGAAAGGTAGTGACTGATCTCGCTTGTGAAGGTTGTTTGGTGACAACCTGGTGCAACACATGGGTGCTTGCTGTAGGCGAATACACCGCAGCAAGTTCACTAGACTGACCCACTAGAGGATTCTATATGGATGGTAACCCCAGTGTCTATGGAACAAATCCTCTAACGAATGGTGGTGCATGTGATCCTTAGACTTGAGATCACCGGAGCGCCTTGTGCACCGATTGGTGTAGTTTGACACTAGCCTAACGCAGTTCTTTTCAGAGCTGTCAATACGGTGGTGATTGGCTGCATCAAGGAGTGTATCAAGACTATGGTGGATTGACAGATTATTCATCACTCCTGGGTGCGGGAGAAGTTATCTCACGGCGTAATTCAGTATATGACAATGACACTAAAACTGTGGTCACAGTAGATGAGTTGTTGCTCTTATCCAGATTAAATATAGGCCATTGGTCCAGTAACTGAATCATCATATCGAGAGTAACAAAGGTTGACACTATTTCTATGCCTTCGTCTCGTCGAGATAACGAATGATGAAAGGATCGTATTGTACGGTAACCATATCGTTGATAGTAGCTAAGTTGCTGAATCCGAATCTATCGATGGGCATGATGTCTTGCTAGGGGTCAATCTGGTTTGTGTATTCATGACGGATCTAGGAATTTCCCTCATGGGGGCAAAAAAAACCAAAAAATGATTTTTATTTCTGTTCTTATTTGTTGTTTCTTTCCCTCTCATTTTTGGAAGTGGGTGAGCATTTTTATCACCATTTATTCTGTTTTGAAGCTTCATTTGTATTGTTTTACCTCTACGAAGTACTTTTATTAAACTGCAGTAACTGAGGGGAAGGCAATACGTTGGTTTTGGTACATTGTCTTATCAATGACTTTAAATCTGTAGGCTGGTATGGGTGGAGGAACTGGTACTGGTGCAGCTCCTGTTGTTGCAGGCATTGCTAAGTCCATGGGTATCTTGACGATTGGTATAGCCACAGTTCCATTCTCTTTTGAGGGGCGAAGACGCACTATTCAAGCTCAGGAAGGAATTGCAGCTCTGAGAAATAACGTTGACATGCTGATTGTCATTCCTAATGACAATTTGTTAACAGCAGTTTCACAGGCCACCGTGGTAACAGATGCTTTTAATTTGGCTGATGATACACTCCGACAAGGTGTTCGTGGTATCTCTGATATAATTACGGTATGGAATCATAAAGAAATTTGTTGGAAAATTATTAATTGTAAAGCTAAAATTTAGTTTGGTTCCTAGGGCTCTTCTATTCCTGCATATGCCTTTGCCTCATAATCTTCATATTCTGCTATCCTGATTTCTTACAAGTGATTCTAATCTTTTGAGGTCATTGTGGAACCAAAAGAAAACTCAATTTTCTTTTCACTTTGCAAATTATCACTTTTGTTAGGATAAATGTGGTCATATCATGCCATTGGAAATTGAATTTGACTGAGCCTCATTTATGTGTCGATACTCGATACTAATTTACTTTATAGTGTACTGGGGCAAACACAGATATAAGTAACTATACTGGATGTGGGTCAATGGGTACCAATGGACCATTTTGCATTTACACATCCAAACACAAGCTTACTTAAATATGTTTGATCATAACCACTTATAATTGTCAGTAAACAAAAGAAAAGGTATAGTTTCAGGTCATTAAATGATAGTTTAGCTGGACTATATATCCAGAACCGTGAGACATTATGTATTGATGTGCTGCAATGGTCTTATAATGTCAATGGTTGTGGAGATTACCCTGCAATCATATATCCTTCTCTCAGTTAGGTTCCTGTCAGTCATGTTTAGCATTTATTAAGTTATTTATCCTTTTGTTCATTTTGGTGGATTATGTTGGTTTCAGGTTCCAGGTCTTGTTAATGTTGATTTTGCTGACGTGCGAGCTATTATGAAGAATGCTGGTTCTTCCCTTATGGGAATAGGAACTGCTACTGGTGAGCTTGAAAATCCAATCTCCTCACTGTTTAAGGCTGACTAGTTTTTATTGAAGATAAATTCTTACAATGTAAAAGGAAAAGCAGTAGAAAAACTAGACTCATGTCACTCATCTAGACTACACTTGAAGTTACAGTTCTCCGTAAAACTAATGCTTCTTAATCTCAGGAACTCCGTTATAAAATCAATCCATATTTACACATATTCTAAGCTTTCTATTTTTGTTACAATTTAACAATATTTTATATGGAGTATATCTGTTAATCCCACATCAATGATGGGTACAACTTCACAAGTTTAAGCAGTAAAGCGATGACACCATACACATACATTAAGCCAACAAATAGATGTCAACACTGTCATGTATAAAGAATTACTTCCAACAAATCCTATGGCTTAAAACATGACAGTAGTAAATAATAATTAGACCTCCTGGTTTCACTGCTGAGGGCCAACCTTGGAGGGGCCTCATGATCTTTTAGTAGGTCCGCCCCTGGCAATGCACAAACTTTATTTACATTGAGATACTTTGGTTTACTTTTTCCTCCTGTCGAGGATAACATCATAACATTGATTTGAATTAGAAAATCTGACCTGCTAGAGTATTGTTTTCTTGGGCCAGATGAGCAAGTCTCTCCACGTCAATGAATATTTGTACAAAGGAAATAAAATTGTCCTGTCCTGAAGCCTACACTTATTGCACTCTATAAATTGTTTTGCTTTGCTCAAACTAGTACATTATACTTGCTAATTAATTCTAGACTACCCTCAAGTTCTGGAGTAAGTGGCGTTACCGTTTACCATTCCACATTACACAGTGACCAAACTAATGTCGGTTTCACTTATAATTGAATCATAGACTATATCTTAACATTTTTTTGGTTACCCTTTAAGTTTCTATCACAATGTTTTTGAATAGTTGGAGAGCAAAATAGGCACCATGACTATTGTTCACCATTTGTCTAGATGTTTGTCTCTTACTGTTGCTTAAGATTGTAGCAAACTGTCACATTGAGAATCTGACATAAGAATGAAAAATATAACTTGATCAAGAATTCAGGTTTTTAGTGAACTTTGTATAAATATTAACATTTGTTAATATACAGGCAAGAATAGGGCAAGAGATGCTGCATTGAATGCTATCCAATCACCTTTGTTAGATGTTGGTATCGAAAGAGCTACAGGGATTGTGTGGAATATAACTGGTGGAGTTGATTTGACTTTGTTTGAGGTGGGCCTTCCTCTGTCCTTTTCTAGATTAACTCGATGGCTTTTATTGCATCAACGTTTTTGGAACTTGTTTATTCTTTTCTCTGGGGGAGGGGGCTGGAGTTGCTATATCAACTCTTTGATTATCCTTATCTGATTTCTTGTTTACCAGTTACCATATGCTTCACAACTTGATTGAATTGAATATGACAGCAATGCTTGACTTTTTATTTGCATGTCAAATTTTCTGCAGGTGAATACTGCAGCAGAAGTTATCTACGACCTTGTAGATCCAAATGCAAATTTAATATTTGGAGCAGTGATTGATCCATCACTTAATAATCAAGTAAGTTGGAGAAAGCTAGAATATTCCAAGCACAATTTTGACTCGGGACCAACTTTAGATAAAAAAAAATAAAAAATAAAAAAAGCTTACTATTATTAATGAAATTTCCACATCCATAAAAATGTCTTAATTGTCAGCCTCCAAGTTGTTTTAAATTAACTATTTAATGCCAGTTTACAGCATCAAAGAATAAACACAGACTACATTGATATGTATAAAAACCTAAAGCTCTGATCTTCTTGACTAATCTGGAACATAATATAAATTTCAGAGGAACCCATGTTTGGCCTGTGCAAGCACACTTGACACTTGAGTATTGCCATTGTTGGCCTACATGAGACTAGCATGCTACATAATTGCTTTTGCGTTGATGTTTTATAATTTATTTTTCCTGCTTCATGTTGTCATGCTCAGCTTCAATCATCAGATGCACCAACTTATTTCCTTATTTAGTAAAGGGTGATCTAATAATTGGGGTTTTATTTATTTCTGATCTCTTTTCCTAGCATGATCTCATTTCTGTATTTAGCATCTGGTGGTAAAAATTCTCATTTTAGCAATACACAGATTGCTCCTATGTGTGCTTCTTTCTGATTGCTTAAAGACACATCTTCTTTTGCTTTTCAGGTTAGCATAACTCTGATTGCCACAGGATTCAAGGGTCAAAATGAAAGTGAACGGAAGGTATGTCTACTCCATCTCTCTCGCTCTCTAAGTTGAATTATTATTTTTGTTAGAACCCTTCTGGAAAAATGCAGGCAACTCAGGTTGCGCACAGTGATGGGTTCCTTGGAAGCAATAGACGTTCCTTTAACAGTAATAGCGGTTCAGTGGAAGTCCCTGAGTTCTTAAGGAAGAAGGGGCGCGCTTCTTACTACTCAAATTCTTGAGGTTCTTTTCTTGAAATGTACAGATGTCTTTTTTTTTTTTTTTCTCCATTATCAGCTGTTGTCAAACTTTGTCCAAGTAGGAAATAGTATGCAAATGCAATAGTATACATCTTAACTATGCAATATCTTTTATCCAGTTAACAGTTTTTCACAACTCTCTTAAATTTTTGAACAAATGGGTGTTTTCTCTTGTGCTTCATTTTGGTTTCAAGATAGAAAATCAGTCACGTAAGCATTTTAATACTGATATGCTCCAGGATGGGGAAGAATTACAGTCTGTTTATGCAGCATTATTAGAACCAAATAATATAAAATGATTCTATATCTTGATTTCACCTATGTCGGATATACATAATTATACATATGTATATTTTACCGAACAAATTAGAATTTATAAAAGAGTATTTGTTTTTCCTTTCTGGATACTTGGTAAATTGGATTTTCTGTTTAATTCAAGACAAATGTTTCTTTATTTGGTAAATTGGAATTATGGCTACTGTCTTTCAACTCCAAAAATCATTAATCATTTATAAAGTTTCAAGATTAGTTTTTAATTAATCACTCTACTAATGTTTCAGTCTGTATTAATATGTTCTGTAAATTAACGGTTAAAAGAAAAAGGCTAAAAAAGGTCTATTGAAATGCAAAATAAATTTAAGAAATATAAATTCAAGCCATTAAATTGTCTCGTCTAATATTAAATCTTAAAATGTATTATCATAATATTTTTAATATGCTTATATCCATTATATTATATAATATAATTTTAAAATATTAATTATAATTTATCAATTGTTGAAATGGTACTTTAAAGTTTAATCATAAGTCATGACGTATTTTAAATTAAGGAAATTATATAAATAATTCATTTTTGGGGTCTTAATTGAAAAATAAAATGTTTCTGAAATTATCTTATGAATAACCCTCCCAAATATTCTAGGACAGAATTGCCTTCATATAAAACCCAAAAAATTCTGAAACAAAACAAACTCTGTGCTCTTATCCAACCAAACCAAATCTCTTATCTTCACTTTACGCACAGTGTAGAATTGCCTTCATACATAACCCAAAGACGTTGTTTGAAGGAAAGATCAAGTAGAGCATCGTGGAGTGGCCATTTTATAGTAAGCTAGGGCATGAAAAACGTGTATTTTGGCTTGATTTTGACCTTGGATTCTATTTAAAGGAGTTTGGGTTTTGAATAATGCTGAAAAAATGTAGAAAACGGGAGTTGGTGAAGGTCAGTAGTCAAATTCGCCGTTTGTGGCAGTGCATGAGCGATGGCAACCTATGGCCACCTATCGGCTGTCATCATTTTTTTTTTTTTTTTTTTTATGATCGTGGTGTCTAAGTGGTTACCATCATATATTTTTTCAATAAAACAAAAACTGAGAGAAATCAGAAGACCCTTATCATTAGTTTATTACAGTTTAATTGTTGATTGATAATCAATTGATAAGTGCAAGACAAAGTGACTGATAGCCACCGGTTGATGTTAATTAGTCACTTTGGGTTTTTAGTTAAGAAATTATAATTGGTCCTAATGGTTGTAGAATTTTGAAATAAAGCTATTTCTAAAGAGATTTGTATAAATGGATTATTTTCATTTGACACTAAAAATGGGGGTTAATAAAATTTCCCCTCAAGTTATTGATCTAATCATTAGATCAATAACTTCGTACTCACCTCGAACAACTGATTGCTTCTTGCTTCATCAAGAAACTAAGGAATCCCCAAGAAGAAAGCTAACTAGTAGTAGATCATCGATCAATCGGATCACCGGCTCAATTAGCATCAGAGTAGCATGTAATTGAGAGATGAGGTAGATGTAAAGTGAATCCATGAAACAAAGTACCCTTCACATACCTCAAGATTCAAAGAACAACTACATAATGAGCAGAACTAATTGACTAACCAAGTGAATTGCATAGGATATATCTGGTTGAGTAGCAATCAAATATAGGGGCCCCAACAGCTGGCGATACCTAGTAAAATCCAAAAAGCTCGTCATCTGTAGCACGAAACTTGATATTGTGTCTCTAGAAAGTGGTTTCAATCTTACTATAAAAGATCAGCTTGAGAGAAAAGATTAGTGGCATGCTTGGCCTGGCACAAGTAGCAACCATCATTCTCATCGAAACCTCTAGGCTTAAAAATAACAAGATTACCCAAATCTTTCATCTCAAAGTGTTGAAGAAGATATTATCTAATATTATGGATGCTAGCAACATCTCACATAATAATCATGTCATCAAAGAGAAGAATGATACCACTCTCAAACTTCTTAGTGAACAGTGTTAATCATAGAGACTGGAGACAAACCCAAATTGCATAATTATACCACTGAACTTAGAGACCCAAGCACGAGGGGCCTATTTAAGACAATACAGGTTTGCTGCAATCGACAAACCTATTAGGAGGATGATCATACCTTGAATGAGGTTGTAAGATAGCTTCCTCTTTTAATCCCCATGCAAAAAGGCATTCTTGACATACATCTAATAACAAATGCAACAACAAGGAGACATCTTAAAGAAGGAAACAGCAATAGGTGTAAAAGTTTCCTCACAACCAATCTCTACTTCTAAGTAAAACCCTTGCCACCAAACGAGCTTTATAGCACTCAACTAACCCATCTAAGCAGTCTTAATTTTATAAACCTCTTTACACCCCACAACAAACTTATCAGAAGGTAAATCAACTAGATCCCAAGTATTGCTATTCACCAATGCTTGCAACTCTTCCGCCATTGCTTGCTATCAAAGATGGTTATAGTTGGCCTCACTAGATGTGCAAGGCTCATAAGAGAAAAAAAAATAGCAAATAACAATGAAAATTACAAAGTTGAACGAAGGTTGAGTTACCCTTGTGGAACAAAACATAGGAGATGGTGGAAAGGGAGACACAAGTTGACACATAGTAGGATTAGCAAGCACAATAGGAGCAGGAGTAGGAGCAGGATCACAGGTAAGTAGGATCCGTAAGAGGCCACGTTCGAAATGGTTAATTGAGCTCATTGGATGAATCTGCATTGTCAAGAAACAACTCAACAAAAAGATTAGTGAATAAGGAACAACATCAGTCGAACATGAATTAGATATAGAACTGAACATGGTGTGTTCCTAAAAAACAACATGTCTCGAGATACAAACGTTTTGAGAGAGATCCTACATCTGTAACCTTATGCTAAACCATATACTGAAAACAACAAAAGCTTCACGTGGCCTAACTTAGTGTGCTCATGAGGCTGAAGAAAAACAAAGAAGCACAACCAAAAACCCGAAGAAATTTTAGTTAGAATAAATACCATAAGACTGCTAATAGAGAATTTGATTTGCAATTATAGAGGAAGGAACTCAATTAATTATGGTACAGACGTGCTTGAATAAGTTTTCTTTCCTCGACCTATTTTGAAAAATAGAGAAGAAAGCAATTCTTGCCCATTTGAGGGAGCTAGAAACCTCTAAGTTCAAATGGAACCTTTATGTAATAATCATGATCTCATTCCAATAGAAATCTAGGAAATATATAGCAGCTTACAACCATACTTCCCTACTAAAAAGCGAAACACGTTCAACAACTTAACAAACCAAAATACATGTTCAACTCAAACTAAAGAATCCTAAATATGTGGCTGACTTATTCAACTAAAATAAAACTTGTCCATATCCTAATCTAATTTATTGAAATTATTGAGATAAACTCAATATTAATTACAAATAAATCCATAAGAAAACTCCTAAAAAATATTAAATATAATTTAATTAACATTTACCCTTATCAAAATGGGTACGTAACATTCCTCTCCTATGAAACAATCCTTGTCCTCAAAGATTTATTCAACAAGGTGGCCATATAATTTTAGGACTTCTACCAGTAATTTCCATCACTTCGTCTGCATCACTGTCATTGAAGCAAGCTTGAATCATAAACACTTTTGGCAACATTTTCTAGACCAAATTTTTCATTACATTTGAAGCATAATCCTTTCTTTCTTCTTTCTTCTTTTCTTCTTTCATCATCTTTCCGTTGTTAGTCTCTTGATTGGCATTGTTGTTGGACTACTTTGAGCTTCATAATTGTGGACAAAACTTTGGATGAGGCAAGATCATGGGCTTTGTTCCTAACTTTGTAAGCTTAGCTAACCCAATGGTTGAGGACAACGTCGAAGGCCTTCCTGCTGAACTTCAGATCTGATATTGTCTTTTAATCCACTAATGAAACAATTTACTTGCCTTTTGAGTGCCAATATTCCAATTTTAGAAAGCAATTTTTCGAACTTAGACTGATATTCCTATCGGATCTTTGCTACTACAATTTGGTGAGTTTGCCAAAGAAATCAAATATTGATTTGGACCATAACGAGAGTGAAGCCCATATTTGAATTCTTCCCAAGTAATAATTGGTGCTTCCTACTTCAAAAGTTGATACCATATTGGGTGTCCACTTCTAAGTGAAATGATGCAAGCGACACTTTATCATTGATGGAGTGTCATGAAACAGAAAAAAATTGCTCAACTCGGCATATCCAGCTGGTAGGATCCTCTTGGTCGTTAAAGTGAGGGAAAGTCAAGTTGACTAACTTGTGTACGTGGAGTGAGACCATCTCCCATTGCTACTACAATGAGCCCTATTGAAGTGGGTCTTTGTTGTGGAACTTTCTCTTTCTTGCCTTAAAATTTGATCAATTCATGTGTTAAGTTGGAAGAATAATTCTTTTAGTTGATTGATAATGGTTTGTTGGCCCCCTGATAAGGATTGCACTTCCTTCTCCAACGCTTCACACTTTAATCCAGTCTATGCATAATACCACTTTGGTACAATGTGCTTGAAGAAGTTTTCTTTCCTCGACCTATTTTGAAATCAAATAAAAAGAAAGCAATTCTTGCTCATTTGAGGGAGCTAAAAACCTCAGAGTTCAAATAACCATCATGCAAATATCATGATCCCATTCCAATAGAAATCTAGGAAATATATAACAACTTACAACCATACATCCCTACTAAATAGCAAAACACGTTCAACAACTTAACAAACCAAAATACACATTCAACCCCAACTGAGAATCTTAAATACATGATTGACTTATTCAACTAAAATAAAACTTATTTATCCTATAGATTTATTAATTATAAAGATAAACTCAATATT